AACTCTGATTCTACAAGCCAAGGTAAACAAAAAATAAAAAGTTGTTTTAATTAATTTTGAGTAAAAATTGAACTAAATTAAAATTTTATTAGAATAGAAATATCATTATTATTTATTATTTAGATAATGATAAATATTAGTCCCTAGGATCTGGTGGATTGTACTTCTGTAACATCTGCTTCATATATGGTCAGGATCCAACCTCAAACCGTGATCATTACAGCAATATGCAATAAAGCTGCATAGAATAAATAAAGATTTTATTACATAAATGAATTATATATAAGTTATTTAATTATTAGAAGACTAGATAAGACAAGATATAATAAAAATTTTGAGGGAAATATGACTTATCCTGCACTTTGACAGCAAAAATATCAAAGAAATTGAGGAGAATTTGAATAATACTATTACTGTTGAAAAAATTTCTGTTAGTGTTGCTTCACCAGATATTGACACAAATGATATCCTCCTTGCAGTAGTTCAATTTGAAAGCTCCAAGGGGTAGATATAATCTTAAATCTCTTGGATTATTACAAGTATTCTCACAAATATTCTGAACATCTCTTTTCTCTGGTTTCTCTGCAGGCAGCACATAATTGAGTTACATCTCTCATTTTATGAAAGCTCTTACTGTAGAGAAAACAAAAGGGCCCAGGAGAGTACTAAAAATAAAAAATAAAATTGTTGATGTTTTTTTTTTCCTAAAAAAAAGTAATTTTTAAAAAAAAATGAAGTTTTAAAGATATCACTTTTAAATAAATAAAAAAAAAATTTCAGTTTTTTTTAACCTACTTGGACCATAGAGAATGGGAAAAGTTCAAGAGGTATTTTTTTTGGGACACCCTAATGGAAGCCCTAAAATTTGCTAATTATGTTCTGTATCCAGTTATATAATTTTGTTTTTAAAATTACATTTTTGTTTAAAGTTTAATATACAAAATTATAAACAAAAATGTGATTTTAAAAATAAAATTATATGACTAGATACAGAACATAATTAGCAAATTATATGACTAGATACAGAACATAATTAGCAAATTATATGACTAGATACAGAACATAATTATATGACTAGATACAGAACATAATTATATGACTAGATACAGAAACTTTTAAAAACACAGCAAATTTTAGGGCTTCCATTATTAATCATAATCTTATAACAAAATCATGATTTTATATAAAAACATTTTTTTTTGCTTGTTTTCTAAATCCTAACTTTAGGCATCTCCAGATCTCCCTTTATAATAGTTAATATATGCCAAGTTTGTAACTTAAATTGCTTAAATTATTGCCAGTATAATGCATATAAATAATACTATAATGTCAGGCCTACTATAATGTCAGGCTGAGTAAATGTTTAAAAAAAAAAACTTTAGGCAAGTTAGAGATAGAGATGTGTTGTATTACAAATTAATTTTTAAAAGAAATGTCGTCTTTCAATTTAATATGTAATAAATTTTATGTATATTAAATTTGCTTTCTTTTTAGAGCTACATATTTAGATTGAAAGAATATGGTTTTTTAGTGTTGTGTCACAAGATGCAGAGGTAACTACGATGTTAGAAAATCTGTCAAAGTTTTTTTTCTTCCAAATATAATTGTGGAAGAACAAAATGATGGATAAGTACTGTACCTTCAGATGATATTCCAGATAGCGCAAATATTTTTTACTTGTTAAAATCATTTGTCTATAGACTATAAAAAGGATTTCGTTCATGGAAAGTTATAAACAAAACATCTATCATCTTAATTTTCTTGTTGTTAAAATCAAATTCGTACTCGATAAACACCACCAAAACCAACTACTAAATCATTTTAAAGAAGTATTGTGCCTGATGAAATAAAAGATTTTATGAAAGCAAGCAATAATTCATCCAATGATTTTCCAAAATATTTTTTTATTTTTGAATAATATCAAATATCTATGAAAACTGTTTACATTTTAAATCTGCTGATACAATGCACAACTTGGATGTTCTAAATTTAATTTTGAAAACAAAAAATGATTCATCTATCAATAGCTACCACCCTAAAATATGCACCATAAAACCTTTTTCTTACAATCAAATGAAAATTATCGACTATTAGTCATCTCCATATTGCCCTCCAAATTCTTTACCAATTGATCACAAGAAAATATTATTATTATTGAACAAATGTTAAGTAGTAACTTATTAATGTTTGAAGTATAAAGTTGCTTATCAAAAAATTTATGTTTAGCTGCGATTTTCAAGGAGGTAATGTTTTTGGTAAATCTGTAAACCCCCTAAGTGAATTGGCAAAAACAGTTTTGATTTTAATGATTTTTGCTATAAAAAAAACAATTTTGAGTTTAAAGATCAATATGAACAATGCAAACAATTAAAAAAATGAAAAATTGTGGTGGTTTTGTTGTTGCTATTATTTGTGACAAAAACAAAGTAAATAAAAATTTATTTAGAATGTTTAATCACCCTAATACTTGGTGCACATACATTTTTATTCTGTATGAATTTGTTCAATTAATAAAATCTATTTATAACAATTGGCTCACAGAAAAATGCCAAGAACTATGTTTTACTTATGAAGGTATTTCAAGAACTGCGAAATGGTCACATCTTAAAAATTTTTGTTATTGAAAAATAACCTAAACTTTATGAAGCTACACTTTTTCCTAAACCTAAAATTAAACATAAAAACGTGTCAAGTTATATAAAAGTATTTTATGATGAGACTGCATTTTTTTTAAGTATTTTATCAAATTTTTTCAAATTGTTAATGTAAAAAGACTTTATAAAAATATTTGTGCTAGAGATGAAAATTATAAATTTTCTTTTAAATGAAAAAAATGGCTTCTGAAAAACAAAAAATTAAAAAGTCCTTTTTTCTCATATGAGTTTTGGAAATGTTTAACTAGTTAAATATTTACTAGTTACACATCGTATGTTTGTTTTGGAGATTTTGCTAATGACCCTATTAAGAAAACATTTATAAAACTTTGGCAAGAATCAGGTGGGACCTTTTTTATTTTACCATCTTTTTACTTTAGTATGTTGTGTTAGCTAATCTAACTGCTTTTTAATTGTATCTGGCTTTTATGTATTTACTAATGTTTCAAAAAAATATTGCAGAATCCTTTCTGAAACAACTTTTGCCATCTTTATTCCCCATAATTTTCAAAGGTCAAATGAAAATAAAAAGTTTTGAGCTATATTAAACTTTTTTTTTTAACTAAAATATATCTTTATTTTGAAAAGTTATTTAAAGCTTTTAATAAAAAGTTTTTACTAAAAATTATGGTTTACATTTAATTTTTTCATTTACTTTGTTTTACTTAATGAACTGTAGTTTACATTTAATACACAAATCTTTTTATTTTGGAGGTTTCATTTATTAATATGTTACAAAAATCTTTATTTATGATAAATTAATTACTATGAACTAATGAACGCATTATTTATTAATAAAAAATAAAAAGGAAAGCTTATAAAAAAATTCTTGCCTTCAGTTTTTTCAAAACCGTATGTTTACTCGGCCTGTCACTATAGTAGGCCATGCAATGTTTTCTTCAACAAATTTTTTTTTTTATTGGCATTTAAAAAACTTTGTATCAAATATATATATATATATATATATATATATATATATATATATATATATATATATATATATATATATATATATACACATACACAGTATGGGCCAAAAAAAAACGGTAAAGAAATTTTATGTGGTTATTTTTTACAAAATTTCTATGTAAAATATACAGCAAACAAATTTAATGAGCGATTTTATTTAAAGTATCAATATATAAATATTATACTTTCAACACGTATATATAATATATATATATATATATATATATATATATATATATATATATATATATATATATATATATATATATATATATATATATATATATATATATATATATATATATATATTGGTAATATTGAAATATTGGTAATACCAGTTTCTGCTTTTATCCCATCTGTAGAAATATGGCAATGTTTTAGGGCAGCTTGGACAATGCGTCTATCTTCTCTTTTAGTAGTTTTTCTTGCTTGCAATATCTCTATGAATCATGCCAAAGAATGACATCTCAATAATTTTTCCTTTGCTAATGTCATTTAAAACCATTTTTATATATTATATATTTATCTAGTCTAAAATGTAATAAATTAGCATATTTCATCATTAATAAATACATCTTAGAATTTTTTTATATATACAGGGTTAGGGTAAGGTTAACCCTGTCTATCTTCAATTTATATTTTATTACAAAATAATCAAATAACTTAAGAGTTATTTAACCATAACTATGTCAAATAAGAGCCCAAATAAGAAATTGTTGAGAAAAGAGGAAAAAATTTAACTTATACTCAATATGAAACTCTTTTTTAATATAAGAAATGAGATATAAGACATTTAAATAAACAAGAAATATGCAAAAAGTTGAGATATTGGTTTAAATATCTGAGAAATGCTTTTAAAATCCATAAAATGTAAATTTTTCTGCAAAAAAATCTTGGCACGTTTTTTTTGGTCCATATTGTAAATTTAATTTAATTTTTTATAAATATATTCTAATATTGTTATTAAAATAGCACTTCGCACATATTAAAAATATAAACACTTTTCTAATTGAAACCTTCTTATTGAAAGCATAAATGTCTCTTTAATAAGCTTAAATTTTATTTTTGAATACCATTTTTGTTATTTTAAATTCCATTAGTAAGTTTACTAGTAAGATTAGTTAGCATTATGTTGGTATCATATCACTCTTAAATCAAATTTTTTTTTTCATTGTCTTAGCTACATAAAAATATTTAAATGTCTAAAATTCAAAAGTCAATTATTCAGAGGCCTGGAGTCTAGTTTTTTGTTTTTGTTTTTGTTTTATTCATTCTTTTAATTTATGAGTTTTAAATTTAATAATTGTGTATTGCCATATTAATCATAAACTACTGATTAATTATTTTGATTATATTAGTGAAAGTGTTCATTTTTAGTTTCAATATCTCTAACAAAAAGCTGTTAAAACAAGAGGATCGGGAAACAAAGAAAAAAGTTATTGATGAATCGATGGAGCTTCCAGATTCTGAGAATAGGTTCAATTAAAGTTGATGACAATTAAAACTTTATGTTTTTTTGTTAATTATTATTTAATTAGTTTAAATGTAAATTGAAGAAAAGTTTTAAGAAAACAAAATTTAAGAAATTTAGTAAATGCTGGATAGGAAGGCAGTGATGAATTTTTGATACAAACTTACAAACTTTTTTTTAAAAAAAATCAACTAGTATTAAAAATGAACCAAAAATTGAATAAAAATTTGCAAAAGCAGATGAAAGAAAAATAATGATTACTCATAACTTTGTTTTTTGTACTTTGGTATTTATTTTATTCATTGAAATTTTTTTTCATTAAAAACAACAACACTTATTAAACCAGTGTATCAAAAACTTTTTTTGCATTATTGTATTGTTACTAAAATAATATTTGTGTTTTATGTAAATAAATTTTAGTGAATGTGTCACTAGTGAACAATGTTCTCTAACGGCTTTGGTTTTGGTGAGAAATATCTATAAAAAAAAAAAAAAAATTTTAAATGATACCAGTTATAGAAATTTTATGCAAGATTTTAATTTATGCAAATCATATTTGTATTTATATTGATTATCTTTTACCTGTTTTCCTGAGTAGTGATTCATCGGTTGGCAGTCCTTGTCTGGAAGCAGATGATGAAGGCGAAGAAACCTGTCATGAGGTTACAATAATACCTTGGTGGGAAAAAAATACTGAAAATTCTGATAATGATATGATGGATTTAACACAAAATATAAGCAAAGGAGGTTGGTAACAAAGTTTGTTAATTTTTTGTTTTTGCTTACAAATTTTAGCTCTAAAATTTGAATATTTAAATGTTTAAACCACTTTTTATATATCTATCAAGATATGGCATCTCGTCTTCAAAAAATTGGACCACTTAAGGTATTTCTTTTAATTATTAAAATAAAATGTAAATATTACATATTATATATATATATATATATGTATATATATATATATATGTGTGTATATATATATATATATATATATATATATATATATATATATATATATATATATATATATATATATATATATCAGCGCTCGAAATAGTTTTTCAAAGTTTGCCGATCAAATGTAATTTTTCACAAAAACAGGTTATTTTTCCTTCGATTTTTCGAAATTTCCCTAAAAATAGCCAATCATTGATCGTTGATCGGCCGTTATTTCGAGCACTGATATATATATATATATATATATATATATATATATATATATATATATATATATATATATATATATATATATATATATATATATATATATATATATATATATATATATATATATATATATAGTCTTGCATGGTAGTCAGAAAGAGTTTCCCATAAACTGTTGTTTTAAAGAGCGCGTTAATAAGCCTGACCAGAAAATGTTGAAAAACTTCAGAAAAATTTTTTTTTTAAATGATAGACCGCCTGCCCAAACCAAACCCTCTGTCGATGTAGCAGCACTCCCTTGCGAGTCAGGCTATTTGTCAGTCAATGTAGTAGCACTCCCTTGTGAGTCAGGCTATTTGTCAGTCGATGCAGCAGCACTCCGTTGCGAGTCAGGCTATAAGATTGTCGATGTAGCCACAAACGCTTGTAGCAGCAGGCTATAAGATAGTCGATGTAGCAACACTTACGCATGTTTTAAAAATGTTTTTTAATAAAACAAAAACAAAAACACCACTAATTAAAAAAAAAATTACTAGTCATTATTATTGTGGTTTAAAAAACAATAAAATTTAATGTACTTCCGCATTAATTTAATTGCTTTGACATTTTGACGACAATAAAATGCAGCTTAAGAGACAAGGTAAAAAAATTGTAGTTGAAAGAGACTTTTTTTTACCATAAAAGTCTCTTTCGACTATACTATAAGGATATATATATATATATATATATATATATATATATATATATATATATATATATATATATATATATATATATATATATATATATATATATATATATATATATATATATATATATATATATAGGAGAAGTGGGGGCGTAACCGTATATAGAGGCACAACTGTTTTTTAACATTTTCCTTTGAAAAATGTTATATACCGGGTGACCGAGCAACAACGTAACGCAAAAAATATAAAAATTTGAAAATACACAAAAAATTTATTTCAATTCATAACTGACTAGAATTTTGACTAAGGTCATTCAATAAAATTATTCAATGTGCCACCATTGGCTTCATACACAAGTTGGTTACGCCGCTGAAAGGATCTGCCTGCATTCTTGACATCTTCTTCTGGAACTTTGGTCCATGCTTTGCATATAGAATTTTTTTAGTGACTCGGTACTTCCATGGGGAATCTTGCAAGCCTCCTTCTCCACAGCCGCCCACATAAAAAAGTCTAATGGGTTCAGATCTGGGCTAGATAAGGGCCACTTTAATTTGTCCCGGTACTGACTCATGCTTTCACTGAGAAAATTTTGTGTCTTTTTTGAAGTATGAGCTGGTGCCCCATCCTGCTGAAACACATACTGACCATCTGGATAGTTTCTGTTTAACCAGGGAATGACCTTCTCTTGCAGGAGGTGGATATACTCATCACTGTCAATTTTTTGACCTTTCAGGGTTCATAAAAACTGGTGGACACTTTTTCCATCACTTGCTATCACGCCAAGTACCATCACAGAAGCTGGTTTTTTTGATGAAAATGAATACCTGATATTCTCAGGGATTTCCTTTACTGTTTTGGCAGTACTAAGGTACCTTGTGTTATAACAATTAGTAAATTTATCTACAGTGAAACGTTTTTCATCAGAGAAGATTGTCACACGCCCAGGGTAAGATTTTTGCCAGTTTAACAATTTTTTGCATCGCTCTTTCCTATTTTCTTTCTGTTTATTAGTGATAAGATGCTTAGTCATAACAGCTCTGGATTTAATGTTCAAATCTTTCTTAAATTTTTGCATTGTGGAGTTGGCAACATTGGCTTTCCTTGCCAACTGGCGGATGGAGCGCAATGGATTTCGCTTGACCTTTCTTTTGGCCAACCTTAAAAGCTGAGGTGATCCTTTCACAGATTTTGGCTTATTAAAACGTCGTTTGATATCTCCTGTTTCATGAAAAAGTTTTCTTACTCGAAAAATTGCTGTTCTGGAGCAGTTTAAAGCCTTTTTAATATCTGATGTAGTCTTATCCGATTGCAACATTTGCAGAATGCTTCATCTTTTTGATTCTTGCAGATTTAATTTAATTTTATTTTTAATTTTTACGTTTTTTTTATTTCTGTGTTGATATCAATGCGTAGTTTGTAAACAAATAGATCCACGGATATCTACAAGCATGGATAGAGCCTTAAATTTGAGCGTAACGCAGTTGCGTGGTCACCCGGTAAAATGGCAAAAAAGATGTCACGTGTTAGTAAAACAGTTTCCTTCTTTTCACTTATGTTAAAATGAGTGTCTGTTTTTTTTTTGGAGAAGTTGTGCATAATAATGTTTATTTAAATAAAAGTATTATATTTACATCATATTTTTCCAGGCCTTTTTTTTGAGGATTAAGCAATATTTGATTTTAGGGTTTAAGATATGCGTTATCAGCATTATTTCATCAAGTGAAAAACATTTTTGATATCAACCTAACCTAATAAGCAAGCTATGAAACTGTTTTCTTTCTAAAAACTGTCCTCTGTGGCAGAATTGCATAGACACACAGGAGGTACAACCGCATACTTCTAATATTTATCAAAGTAATTAGGAATATCAATAATTGCAGTCGTCGCACTTGAATGCGTTCATGTAAAAACTTGAATAGAAATAGTTTTGTTTTTAGATGTTAGAAATTAAGTTTCGTATTTTTTTATTAAATTTTTTATAAATGAGTTTTTAAATAAAATATAAAGCTACTCCCAACAATTTTTGTGAGGGTGCGGTTGTGCCTCACAATAGGGTAAAAACCTTTTTTTTTTTTTTAAGTATAATTTTTATGTAATAACATTTTCAAAAACTGTTTAAATTTTTTCTTTATTGCATCAATATAAAGCTTAATGATGTGGTTATTGAAACAAACTGTTAAAAAAACAAATTTTTTTTTTGTTTAACAGTTCTTTTAAGAACACTCTTTTTTGTAGAATACATACATACATACTCACAGCCCTCAGCAAAATAAAGGGCAATAAATTGCAAACCTCAAGCTGTTAGAGATTAGCATCAGGTCAGTAAAAAAAAATTGACACAAAGGGGTTACCATAAAACATAGAAACAAGCTTGGCATTTTTTTTGCTGACCTCAAACACTTTTAGGTCAGCATTGCCGAATCCCAACCCTAATTCTGGTGTATATATATATATATATATATATATATATATATATATATATATATATATATTTATTTATATGTATATATGTATATATATATATATATATATATATATATATATATATATATATATATATATATATATATATATATATATATATATATATATGTATATTTATGTATATATATATGTGTATATATATATGTATGTGTGTATATATGTATATATATATGTATATATATGTATGTGTATATATATATATGTATATTTATGCATATATATGTGTGTATATATATGCATTTATATATATGCGTATATATTTATGTTTGTTTGGCAAGATGATACAAAAATAACTACATGTTTACTACTTAAAGCTTTTTTGTGTATAGAGTCATCAGGTAACATTACTTAATAATTATACACACATAAAATAAATGTGTTATTTGAATATATTTTTTAATGATATAAAAATAATTTAATTTTACCTGATTTTACCTGCTTTAGGCATAAAACCTTTAGTAATAGATATATATATATATTTTTTTAACTTATTCATTTTATTTGCCATATAATATTGTTTACAATAAGGTTTATAAAATGATACTAGCAGGGCTTCAAGAAGATTGTAATGACCTTATCACGAAGCCCTTAACAAAACTCGATTTTCTTATACAATAAAAACACATATATTCTATAGAAAATAGATAAATACCGAAAATATATAATCACTAAATACATCACTAACTGAATATGAAAATACATCAGAACTGAAACTCAAAATAAAAAAACAATATGCAGTATAGCAATTAAGGTTATTTTTAATTTATCTTGTCAAACAAAAATATAGCTTTGATATCATTTAGTACTTTTGTTTAATATATCCACACAAAAAAGAAATTTGTAGATACACACATCAACTAATTTCTTGAGCCATAGACTAATAATTTGAGCCATAGACTAATAATTTGAGCCATAGAGTAATAATTTGAGCCATGGAGTTAACTTACCTTAACTCATTTATTTAACTATAGGCTGGGTGTGTTTAATGTTTGTAATGTTTTTAACTGGGTGTGCATATATTGACTTGTTTTGGTATTGGCACAACTGGGTGTGCATATATTGACTTGTTTTGGTATAGGCACAACTGGGTGTGCATATATTGACTTGTTTTGGTATAGGCACAACTGGGTGTGCATAGATTGACTTGTTTTGGTATAGGCCCAACTGGGTGTGCATAGATTGACTTGTATTGGTATAGGCAGGCAGTCTATTGATTTAAAGTCTTTTTAACGTTTTTTAGTCATTTTCCAGTCATCTTAAATATTTAAATATTTTTTATCTATTTTATTTAATTTAAATAACTTTTATATTCTTTCTAAATTATAAGGAATTTTTTTTTTTGCTTTTTTGATATCGCATAATCTTTTAATTATATAAAGCTGATGTAACTATCGGGATGCAGAGTCTCAATAGAACTCTCTGGTGTCCAGAAGCTCTAAACATGTTGGTTGATTAATGATCTGCTTTAAGAAAAAAAATTATGATATTTAATGACTTAGAACTTATTATTTTTAAAACCATGAAAGAATGTAAAAACCATGGAGTAGAATGACGCTTGACTTGGAACCTACTAGAAGGAATAAAAGCATTCATTCTTTCCTGAAGTCAGGATTTATGTAGGAGCTAAGAGGAAAAAGATATCAGCCCAAGGACCGTCACAAAGAAAATCATGAATCAGCTAATGTACCTCAAAGAAAATCATGAATCCCAAGCTTAGCAAGCACAGCTTTAGGGTAGTAGTAAGCAGTGCGATGATAGGGTGAGTCTGAATGACTCACCCTATCATTTCATCAAAATCTTTCATCTCTAAATGAATTACGAGATGAAAGGTTTAAAGAGATCATTGCATGATCAGAACCACATTAGGGAGACAAATTATATTTAAATTTAAAGAGAACTTGACTCATTTATAGATAGAGCACGGCCTCCCTTGCATTGAGCTATGCAATTTTCTCAGTTCTGTTAATTAACCTTAAGTAACATAGGGCTCCTTGTGTGGTCTCGACTATGCGCAACAAAAGCATTAAAGGGAACACCATCCATGCGCAAATAGCACTGTTACTACTCTGATATTTTGCTGCTCTTGGTGGAATCAGCCTCTATGAGAGATAACACAGAATTCAGGAAATCTTACTACCAGCCGGCCTCAGAACCATTAAACTGAGTTATAGAGCTGTACCCTTATTAGGAGATAACAGGAAGAGTTGCATAGCCGCTATCAAGGTGACACAAAAGCCTATGTCATCGACACAAAAACCTATGAGAAAAGTCAAGAAGATCCAACATTCATCATTCTAGGAAGGAAACAATATAACACAGGTTTACATCTACGCCAGCCTATTAGACGAGGAAGGGGTTTGAGGTTGGTCAACATAATTATTTTGCTTACCCCTATCTTATCTAATATCTTCTATTATCTAATGTTGACATTTCAACAAATTTCTATTGTACTTATTTGATACCAGAAACTAAATAGTTACATCTTTTATTACGTCAGAAGTCATTCTACCGTAATTTTTAATTCATTTGTAAAAGTACTTTTTTTTTTTTTTTAAATCGTTTTTTCTAACATTTCTTTATGTATTTAATATCTGATGATTGACGTATTTTATCTGTATTTTACTAAAATAAAATTTTTTAAATACTAAATTAGTGTTTAAAAAATTTAATTTAAAATCAAAATTAACCTTTAATTTCTTGTAAAGCCGCTGCGAAACGTACCTTCAAACAATGTGCTAAATGTTAAAATTATCTGGTTTTTGTAATTTTTTTACAACTTAAAATATTTTCTTTTCCACTTTGGTTAAAGATCATTCTGTATTTGCTGATCCCAATGGAATCTAAATTTTTATTTATGTTTTAACCGCACATGTGAATCTTGAAGCTCAAACTACATAACATTTTAAACATTCTTTTATTCTCCATTTAGTTAAACCTCAAATTTGTAACTTTTAGAATTTCTTAAAGTATTTTAGGCCTGAATATTTTATTTTTTAGGCCTTAACAATATTTTTTAAAATATAAAGTTTATTTATAAAATGGAATTCATACTTTTATCTGTATTTCCGTAAAATGTTTTATGTGGAATTAACCATACTTGTTGGTTAAAAAAGAAAGGTTTTACTTCAACAGTTAAAATAAACTACAAAATACATCTAGTTTGTTGTGCCAGCATCTTAAAAATAGGATTTATTTCTGCAGGGTTTAAAGGTATTAAAGAATATTTAAAGAACTGGGTTGACCTATAGAATGGATGGATGATACCTTTTGGATGGATGGATATGTTGGAACTTCACATTAAGGTACAAATATGGGATTATAAAATTAAAATCAATAAATATTTGAAATACATCAAAAAGATTTAATTTAAATGCTTTATTTAGCTAATTTTTTGTTGCAAGGGCAAAAGGTCTCAAAAAAGATATTGTCTATAATATCTTTAAAAGCTCCCAAACTAACATAACCCTACATAACAACAAACCTAACACTGAGGGGAAAAGATTTTATAAGAAAGAATGTTACTTTCATTAAAAGAAACAGCAATGCTGTTAAAAACTTTTAAGGCAAAGGTTTTTTAGTATTTTAGAAAATTGGTTAGAAAATTAAAAGGTAAAATTTTAATTTAAATTTAACGTTAATAGTTACTTATGGTTAGGGCTTTGAAAGTTTAATATTTAAAGTATACTTAGTTATAGATATTTTACTGTTTTAGATGAGGAGTAAATTTTAAGAAGCCATTAGTTCTATTAATATGTTAACCAGGTTAAGGCCAAATAGAATTATTTATTATATGTTTTTTATATCGATCCTAGTATGATATCCTAAACATCATAAATTTAAAGACAGTAAAGACTGCTTACTAGGGATTCGTAAATAAAATGAAACTCTAATTAATCTTAGTACCAGATCTTTGGAATTATTTGAAGATTTTTTACTAACTGAACTTAATGTAGACTTAGCAATTAATTAGCTAAGAATAGTCCTGAGAATCAAAGTTACAAATGTACAATTCATGTGCTGAAGTTCTCTTTTAATTTACAGTTTATCACACTCAGACTCATTTTGCACAAGTTGGTTTTAAAAATCTGTTCAATATTGCTAATTTATTTTTTTATTTTTACTCTAAAAATCAAGAAAACCTTTGAAGTTAAAACTCTTGTAGAATCTGTTTATAAACACAATTTTTCTAGTATTTCTATTAACAAATATAATTTAATAATATTTATACTATATAATCCGTCTCAAAATGTTTTTGTATGATTGTTTTTTATAGACGTCAGAGGGATTTCAATATTATAATATCATTTTTATTCAGATGATTTAGCAGCTCAAGCTATCAAGCAATGTAATAAAGTGTGTGTATGTGTGTTTATATATATATATATATATATATATATATATATATATATATATATATATATATATATATCATGTTTATATACATATATATATATATATATATATATATATATATATATATATATATATATATATATATATATATATATATATATATATATATGTTTATGTATATATATATATATGTTTATTTATTTATTTATTTAATAACTGTGCACATGTACAATAACAATGTACGAAGCCTAGTTGATCTAGGCTTTAACAGCCGATTTATGTTAAAAATAAGTCCAACTTTGATTTAAAATAATTAAGTGTTTTAGAATCTACAATGTTTTGATCTAAGTTATTCCAGCTGTTAATAACATGGTTCGTTAAGAAATAGTACCTCTTTGGATTTTTAGTTAATATGAAACCTTATAGTGTGACCTCTCGTATTTGAAGCTATTAAATCTGGTGGGTATTCCAATGTTGAATTATTTTTTTTTTTTACTATTTTGTAAAGTTGGGTTAGGTCATTACATTCGCACCTTTTTTTAAGAGTCGTTAATTTAAAGTAGGTTAGTCTACTTTCATAGTTTTTCCCTTGAAAACATTTTATTTGTGTTGCTTTACGTTGTATCGATTCAATTTTTTTTTTTAATCTTGTTCTAAGTAAGGATACCACACTGAATTTGCATAGTCTAGATAGGGTCTTACAAGAGAGGTATACAATAATTTAGATACGTTTATGTCTAAGTTTTTAAATGAATGTTTTATTATTCCTAACATTTTATTAGCTTTACCAGACACATAATTAACTTGACTAGACCATTTTAAGTTGTTTAAAATCATAATTCCTAAGTCTTTTTCAATTTTGGTTTATATATATATATAACCAATATTATATAAATATATATATATGTATATTTACATGTTTATATATATATTTATATATATATATATTTATATGTTTATATATATCTATATTTATATATATATCTATATTTATATATATATATATTCATATATATATATATATATATATATATATATATATATATATATATATATATATATATATATATATATATATATATATATTTATATGTGTAAATATATATTTATATGTATGTATGTATGAAGGTTGTCAGTGAATCTGGTGGATTTATAGCTTATGCAAATCACAAAATGAAAAGTTTTGTACATCAAAGAGATATTACAGAGTAATTTCTTTTTTATTTTATTTTTTATTTTTGTATAAAATGCTTCCTAAGTAAATTGATATATATATATATATATATATATATATATATATATATATATATATATATATATATATATATATATATCATAAAATTGCCTAAGTAATCAATCGTCGTGTAACTTTAGTCATTTAAGAAAAGATAACAAAATTGAATGCGTATTTCACTTTTTAACAATTTTTTTTTTCTCTTATAATATTTTTTGTCACTTCGTGTATAAGAATCATAAAAAACGATGTTTATTTGAAATCTGTGTATAAGAATCATAAAAAACGATGTTTATTTGAAATCTGCTGAAATAATTTGAAATTTGAAATTATGCATACTATTGAAATCTAAAATAAGCAAAGTATTGAATAAAATGATCAAATTTAGCACTAGTTTTATAATGAGTCCCAGGATTAACTATATTTGAATATAGGTTATCAAATATTAAGTACTCTTTTTATTCAAAAACAATTAAATTTTAAAGTTTTAAATTTTAAATTTTAAACTTTGATCACTTGTGGAATGCACGCAACGTGACACTAAACATTAACCCTTTTGCAACTGAGCTAAAAACAACTACATGACTGCGCGTAAAATAAAGAACTAGGATCATGATCAATTGCAAGAGTATAAAATAAAAACTACTGGTCAGAATTTTAAAAGCAAGAACTTGTTTTTTTGTCCAAGAATTGACTTTCAGAATATTCAAAAACTTTAAAAAAGTTTTGTTTGTCTTGGTTACGTGATCAAAATATTTAATAGAAAAGCGCTGAAATAATTTGTTTGCTAATAAAAATTTTAAAATCATGTGTAACATTAAAACTTCAACTAAGCAAACACTGATAGTAATGATAAAATTTAACATTAGTCATAATAAATAGTCAGTGCTGGATTAAGAAAAACTGGGGCGCTAGGCATTAAACTTTAGCAGGCCCAATTTTTAAACTAAATTTTTTTTTTGCAAGAATGTTGAGGAACAAAGAACATACATTTTAAATGTAAATACTTGCATTTATAAATGTACGTGTTTATAAAATGTACATAAGCCTTTTTTTATAAATATTTAGAATTATGAGATAAATCTGATATTTATAATTTTTTAAATTATACTAAATTATTATTTTTATATTATTATTATTATTGTTATTACTTTTTAATATTCTACATATTTTTCTATACATTTGTAATTATGAGAATTAAAACAAAATAACTCATTTAAGAAATTAACATACAATATCCTCTTAAAATTTGCAACCACTAAGTGATTTTCACTTTGCTCATTAATCTCTTTTTTACATCTATCAATAAATACTATAAACCCGTTATAACAAAAATTATAACAAGATTGAAGCAGACAATATCAATTGCAGGGCCTCCCCGTTGTTAGAAGCTCTTCTTTTTAGACAAATTTGCATTTTGATATTCTATTAATCAATACCTGACAAAATTGATTTTGTTTTATTTTCAAATTCATAAAAATTGTTTTTCATTTCATTTAACATACTTTCTAAATATAAAAACATCAAAGTGCAAGTTTTTATATCAATTTTTTTTTTACTGAAAAGCTTTGCTTGTTGATCTATTTAATATATTGCTCCAATATATGAGTATAAAGACAAATTCAAACGTTCCTATCTCATTTGCCATACATTCAGCTTCGTGGCTTGCATTACTTTTTTGAGAGAGATCTTTAGCAATCTTATTCTATGACATCAAAATTGAATTAAAAAAACTAAGAATTACTTTGGTGGTATTCATTGTTATAATCCATTCTCAGTGAAAATATCCATTTTCATTTTGATGAAATTAAAAAGTATTTTTTCATTCATCAAATCTATTGTTAGTGAGTATGTCGATTGCTAGTGAGTATTTTGACTTATTTTTAGACACAAAACATTTTTAAGGAAAGCTTTAAAAAAAAACTATGAAAACAGTACACACAATCATTTGTGTACTGTTTTCATAGCTTTATCTTTTTTGAGAATCTTTTTTCTTTTCTTTCATCATGTTTTTTTTTTTTTTTCATCATCGCTTTTTTGATTCTTGAATAATCAAATAATTCTTTTCTTTCTTTATCTGTTTTACTATTTAGCCATTCTAATGTTTAATTCTGATGCCACATTGTCAAAGCATACCATTAAATCTAAAACCACTGCAATCTAATTTTCGGGCGCAGTTTAAAAATTTGAACTAAAAGAAATAATAATAAAAAATGAAAATGCAACAATAAAACAACGATAAAAAAATAATAAAAACAACAAAAACATATAATAAAAAAAGTTAGGGGCCATCTATAAATGATATTAGTAAATAAAGGGAGGTGGGAGGGGATTTTGAAAAATTTAACAATAATTGACAATTTGGAGGGGTGTTAAGACTGTAAAGATGTCAATTTCAAAAAAAAAAATTCAAGTTGATATTTGCGTCATTTCTGAGCAGATTTTAAAAAAATTGATAAAAAAGTAAAATTAAGACTTAAAAAAAAATAGAATAAAGAAATTTTAATTTTATTTTGAGTTTGACCAAAAATTGACAGCTTGACAAATGGGGGAAGGGCGGGTCTGAATCCAGGAAATATCACTGACATTATATGGGCGGCAAAATAGAATCAAGCAATAAAATAATAAAATAATTACTTTGAAAATTATTTACTTTACTTTTCATAAATTTTCTGGAAGTCTCTATAGACGACAAGTTCCGTAAAAAAGTTAAAAAAAAAATTATTTTGATTATTCTATTTATATAATTTACATAAACGATATAGTTGTCTGTAGTTTCTATAAAAAAAAAAAATTGAAAAAATATTTATGCCTGAGATATAAGTGTTCAAAGCTTAAGTGAACTAAAGCGATTTTACAAAACATATATATACATATATATATATATATATATATATATATATATATATATATATATATATATATATATATATATATATATATATATATATATATAAACACACGCACATTTATAATAATAGTATATAATACCATTATTCTTTTAGGTTATCTATATTTACAACAAATAAAAAAGAAGAGAAACAGGTAGTCACTTTTTTTTTATTTTTTATAAAAAAAATATTAATATTCTTTAAATATTTATATACTTTAAATTTTTCTAAGTTGATCTAAAATTATCTAAAATGTTAAGTTTTGAATTTTCTTATGGTGTAAAAGGAAAAGCTTGGAGGAAGGTGGATTTTATTTTTGTTGAAGTTATTATCTCAAAAATGTTTATAGATGACCTTTAGCAGTGTGTTTAAAATTATAGTTTCAGCTAAAAATGTTATTAAAATTATTATTTGCTTATCTTTTTATTTAATTATGTTATTATTGTTGTTTTTTTGTGGCAATTGTTTCCTTACTTATGTTATTGTTATTTTTTTACTTACGTTATTGTTATTATTTACTTATGCGTACTATACATTTTTATTATTAACTTATGTTATTTTTATTTTGTTTATGTTATTAATTTCTTTTTTAATTACGTTATTCACTTATGATTATTACAGTATGTATAATAAAAAATCCTGAAATTTTTAATTAGGACTTAATTTTAGAAAATGGTTGTTCATTTTTATCGTTTTCATGGTAGGTAATTCTACTTGCATCGTTATATAATCTTCAAACATCAGCGGAAAATTTTGGTCGATGCAATAAAGTTGTTTTTACAAAAACTTTGTAAGTTTTTCGTTGTAATAAAAATTTCGTGTAAAAATTTTGTTGTGTTGATTAAGCTATAAATTTTCAGAACAACAAAAGATGCTGACCGGCTTTAAAATCTTTTCTTTCAGAACAACAAAAGATGCTGACCAATCAGCTTTAAAATCTTTTCTTTCAAGAGAAGTAAAGTTAAGGTTAGAGCAATTTTTTTTACATGACACCATGAAAAATGAACATAAAATATTAGTCAATTTTTCTGTTCTATTTTTAAGATGTCGAAAAAATCGCTCATCTTTTCAGCAGACTTCAAAAAGACACAAATTAAGTTCTGAATCTGTTGTTAAACATGAGAATGGTAAAAACTAATTTTTTTAACTTTCTTTGTTAATAAAAATTTTATTTTATTTCTTATCGCTTTTTACATTTGTAGATTGCACAGATATAATTGATATTCCGATCCCAGAATGCAATATGGGTAATAAAATGTTACAAACAATGGGCTGGAGTCCTGGACAAGGTTTAGGGAAAAAGAGTGATGGTATAATAAATCCAGTAAAGGCAATTAAACGGCCTCGTAATCTTGGATTCGGTCATCCTTATTCCTAATTGATTATGTGTCATTTTATTAATATATAAAGATTTTAGTTATATGTGTGTGTGTGCATATATATATATATATATATATATATATATATATATATATATATATATATATATATATATATATATATATATATATATATATATATATATAATTTTGACAAACAAAAAAGTAGTTATCATTTTTTAAAAGAAAATATTTATATGACGAGATTTAAATTATTTTAGTTATGCAGTTGCTAAAATTTCTCTAATATTTCTTTTTTATACTAAATAGGTCATAGATTTTTATATGAATCATTTTGTGATTTTTATAAGTATTATGAAATGAATCCACGAAATTCATTAAATCTATGAATTTTTTTATTTGCATATATATTTTATTTGCCTACGCAAGTAATCTTATTTGTATAATATAATGCCTATAATTATAATTTTCACAATAATTATAATTTAGGCATAATATTATGGTGCGTTTACGGAATATTTATTTTATTTTAAAATTGTGTGTGTGTGTATATATATATATATATATATATATATATATATATATATATATATATATATATATATATATATATATATATATATATATATATATATATATATTTATATATATATATATATATATATATATATATATATATATATATATATATATATATATATATATATATATATATATGTAGACGTTAAAATATGTAGATGAAAAATTTTATTTTCAAAATTGCAAGAAGTGTTCTTGTAACGTTGAAATTTGATTCAAAAGTTCGAATCCTACTGCATATTGTTAAGACATTGTCGCTTTTATCAGATGGTTATGCTTTAAAATAATAAATTCCCGAAATTGTAAATTTAGTTGCAATAACAATGTTATGTGTAGAAGGAAGAGTGGCTTTAGCTGCTTTTATCTCGTTCGCAGTGTTGTCGTTATACCAAGTGCGTATTTTATGTGCTGACTACTGGAGTTATGAATACTGCTTACTAGTTTTTATTACAGCTGTGTCATGTACGTTTGCACTTCCATACTCTGGAATAGTAAAACGTGCAGGTTTTTTAGGAACTATTTTTGGAGGAGCTTTGGTTTTAATTTATTTCACAGTATTTCCATGGAAATTGCTTTGTGTTTTTTTGGTAGCTTTATCGTTTTTTCATTTTTCTGAATATCTTTTAACAGCTATCTACAATGAGCATACGCTAAATTTGAGTTCCTTCTTGATCAATCACAGTGTTGAATATCAACTAGCTGTTGTATTGTCTGTTTCAGAATTCGTGGTAGAAACATTGCTGCTACCGTCTTTAAAACATTTTTTCTTAATCAACTTTGTTGGATTTATTTTAGTTTTGGGTGGTGAGCTTTTGCGCAAAGTCTCTATGGTGACTGCAAAATCAAATTTTACACACATTGTGCAGGATGAAAAAAAAGAAAGCCATATTTTAGTAACGAGTGGGGTATATGCCTGGTCACGCCATCCATCTTACGTTGGCTGGTTTTATTGGAGTATTGGTATATTTTTTTTATTCATTAATTGAAACTTTTTATACTTTTTTTAATACTTTTTATAGTTAGATAAAGGTTATAAATGAGATTGTTTAGCTTGTTCAGCTATATTTTTTGTTACTCAAATTAATTTAAACAATTTTTTTTTAATCCTGTTATAGGTACTCAAATCATGTTATGCAATCCGATATGTACAGTCCTTTATTGTTATGCATCGTGGAAGTTTTTTTACGATCGGATTCGAGATGAAGAATTTTACTTGTTTAAGTTTTTTGGTAAAGATTACATAGATTATGTTGAAAAAGTACCAACAAGAATACCGTTTGCAAATGGTTTGTACGATGAGTTAAAACCTTTTATGGCAAAAAGTAAAGAAACACACAAATGAAAGCGAATAACAGTAACTATATAATTTTATAAATAGATATCGTGCATAGGTGGAGCGAATTATTTGTTGTTGTTTTTTTTTTGTTGTTTTAATTTTATAAATTGGACGAGGTAGCCAAATGTTGCGAAAACAAGTTTGAAACGTTATGGTTGAACGGGTGATTATATGAAATTTTTGGGGGAGTATTTAAAAGCGCCATGTTAGGTGGTTTTGATTGATTTTTCTCAACTCATTTGATAAAAAGCAAAATCTTGAGGGTTCTCTTAATAAAAAATAATGAATAATAATTATTATTTTCGAAATTAATTAATTAAAAAAAACCATACAAAGTTGACCTATAAGTAATGTCTTGAAGTTTAATGAATTTTTGAAGAATCAACCAATAATGGTTTTTTTAAAATCACCTCTTTAAGGTTGACTTACAATAAAAAATTTTTTTTTTAAGTTGATCTAGAAAAAAAACTTAATAAATTCAAAATTGTTGAACTCAACTTAAATTGTTGAGGGAATTCAACTTAAATTGTTGAGGGAATTCAACTCAATTGAGGTAAATTGATAATAAAATTTAAATTAAGTTAAAAATAGTATTTAATAAATAATAAACAAAAAAAATTTTGAAATTCAGTTTAAAAAATTACCTTATAAATTTTTTATTAATTGAAAAAATATGGCCGAAGTTAATTAAGTTTTATTATTTTAGCCGTGTATTACATTCCTGGTCATGCTTTACCGATTCTTTAACTACAGTGCGGAATGAATTTAACTTTGTTTTCTGTGTTTTATCTCGTTGACAATCTTCTTATGTTTTTGATAGATTTCAAGTTGAATTTGGCATTTGTTTTCTGCGTTTTATCTCGTTAACAATCTTCTTATGTTTTTGATAGACTTCAAGTTGAATTTGAGCAGAATATTTATTATAAACCATTTTTTATGTCAATATATAAAATATATTTATTTTTAAATTTGCTTGCAGAATGTGAATCTATCAAGAATGAACATCATAGAAAATTCATAAAAAACAAAGTACTAGCTCATGATTTTAGAAATAATATTTAAAAGAGTTAAACCCTGTACAATCTGGAATATTTTTTTGATCTGCAAACCAACAGAGTCGTCATAATCATTTACAAATCGGATCAGTTGTCATTTTATTCAGAATTTAAATTTTCATTACTATAACAATGCAGAATTTTTTTAATTGCGCAACTTTGATGAGTTCAAGTAACAAGTCAGACCAAATATCAGATTAAAAAAAATCTAAATCCTCATCCGAATAACGGCGATCTTTTGTTTATAGATTTTTCTATAGCCGAAAATCTGCAAACTGACAAATAGTGCAACAATTTATTATAATTTATTTCGAAGGCAATACAAACTTTACTTATATAAATTTTGATTTTACTCAGTCAGAATCATGTTAGTGTTTTGTGTCAAATATGTTAGAAAAGTTTGTAGGTTGCCTTCATTGAAACAATTTAAGAATAAATATTTATTAACCAAAGATGGTTTAACTATGAAAGCATTTATGATTTGATTAATACAAACAGACATCCCTGCTATACTTTTAACCACAATTTGACTTAATTGATTGCACTGTTATTGGGAATAATTTTTTTTTTTTTTGCAAAGACACTATTTTATTCCAATCAAGGCAACTGGTTGCTTAAATTGGAACACTTTGATTCCTTAATTAAAACAGGTTATTTTTAAAAAAATCCCCAGTAAAATCAACAAAAATTGGTTGAAAATGATTTTTATCTTTACAGTGAAAATTTAAACAGTTAATTCAAAACTTTTTATAGGATTAGTACTGACAAGCTGAAATTCTACAAACCAAAAAATTGTATAAAAGCTTTAGCTGTTGTGACGTTCTCTTAATTTATTAATTAAAAATCACTGAATAAAATATTATTTTTAAGATTTATGGTTGTTACTAAGTATTTTTTTAATTGCACTCGAACTATTTTTACAACCCTTTGATTTTATTACTGATTAGGTAAGAAAAGCTTTAATGTTTCAATCAAGGAAACTTTCGACTATCACTTCAAAAACATGCTTGCAGCAACTTATAAGATAAGTTTATATTATTATTTTGCATTTTAAATCCCATCCAATTAAACACAAAAAATCGTATAACCTATAGCACCATAGTTTACCCAGCGCAATCAATATAGTGTGAACGCAAAATTAGATCACTGAAAAAAATGACGCAAAAAAACTTTAAGTGCAAATGCATTTTTTGAGGAATAGTTTTCAAAATGTGTCAAAACGTAGATAGTAATGAGTTTTACTAAAAAAATGCAAAATATAGCCATAATTCACTTTTTTTTCCAAAAATAAATGCAAGTGTTTCAATTAAGGCGCTGTTTCAATTTCGGCAACTCTCCCCTATATGCTTTGTAGAATGTTAAAACTGTTTAAACTATTGTTATAAAAATACCTTTAGATGATCAGGTTTGCTTATCTCATTCTCAAAACGACGTTGTAAGAACGCAATTTGGTGGCATTACAAATTTGCTGACGCGATGGATAGATAGATGGATAGCCAGTAATGATATTTTTCTGAAATAGAACGCATATTCTTTAAATTTTATTACAAAAAAACCGTTAGAAAAATCAAAAAGCGTGAGCTATTATAAGATATTTAATTAAAAAGTTGTGAAATGCGGATTGTTATGTCACTTTATTTGGCATTTCAAGTCAACAAAAGAAAGCCCTGTGCTGTTACGTTTAGACAACCAGCAGTCACATTTATCTATTTAGTTAATAACATTGTGTAAAGATAATGGTATAGTTTTGCTTTCCTTTTCTCCTCGTTGCTTACATAAGTTGCAACCTCTAGATAGATCTGTATTTGTTTATGTATTTACATATACATAAACATATACAATGAGTATATATGATTTGCCTGGAATTCCAAAAATATTCTTACAGCATTCTATTACACAGCAAAACATAACTTCTGGTTTTAGAGTGGCAGAAATATTCCCATATGATAAGGATATAATTTCAAATGCAGATTTTGCTCCATTTGTTTCTGATTGTCCTGCAACCCAATTTAAAGCAGGCATTGATATTAATATACTAACTTCAATCTCAGATGCAATTCCATCTCCGGTATCATTAGAATTTTTCCAAGAGAATGTAAAACCTCTACCAGGAGCACAACCTAAGAAAAAAATACTCATAAGATCAAAGAAAAAGTAGGCAGAAATTCTTACAGATACTCCAGTAAAACAGCGACTTTCGGTTGGAAAGGAAAGTTCTAGAAATAGAAAATCTTCGTCTACATCAACAAAAAAAGCATTAAAGTTGAAATGAAATGTAAATTTTTTACATTAAAAAAATTGTTTTATAACTTACGTTATTGTGTTTTTATATCTGAAAAACAAAAAAAAAACGGAACTTGAATATCCTAAAAACTTCTCTTTCATTTTTTCTAAACTTAACTGTTGCTTATTTAACTAAGAGAATTTTTTTTTTCAAAAGCAATTATTTATTTAGTAAACAAGTCACCTATATGTAAAGTCTAGCATAATAAATGTATTGCAGCTCAATTAAAATACAACTTCCTTTACAAAATTTTTGTTGCCAAATTGAAACTACTGATTAACTAGTAATTTTTCTGTGAACTCTGCCAGGCTTATACCTTCAAAGTATTGTGTTGCAAGTTACCCTGTTCACTGTTGCAATCTGCCCCTGTGCGGGGTAAGTTGTAACAGTGAACGGGGTGAGTTATTTTTTGCAACAGTAAACCGGGTAAGAACGGTTGTTTTTTTTTCATTTTTGTTTCACTATTGCGAAATAACTAATTTTTTTTATTTCATATTTATCAAAGTTGGATTAATACATCACTACGATCTATTTTATAACCTTAGAAAAAATTTCAAAAATTTTAAAGCTTAAGTAGATAAATGCAGTTTTATCAAATGCAGTCTTTCCTACTTTGATGTCTTTGGCCCATATTCACACCAAGCCGATCGTGTTAAGATTTTTACACCAACGTATCGTAAATGTCTTACGTATTACCAGTCAAAAAATCTAAGCCCGATTAGCTTGGCGTCATAGTAATTGGTAATTTTATATATTTAAACCAAATAACAAAAAATTAGTTTCTACATTATACATTTTTGGTAGTTTTTTGATGATAGAACTGCTTAAATTTTTTTTTTTTTTTTTTTTTTTTTTTAGGTGCTCCAATCTGAAAAAATGCTCCAAATTTTCCTCTAATCCCACCGGAGGGGGGGGGGGGGAGTTGGGTTGAAGAAAAAAAAATTTAAAGAACGGTTAAAGCCACTGTCTACTATTGGAACTATTATTTTGCTGCGGGCACAGGATAACGATGGTCCTAAAGATTGTATTGAGAATCCTTCTCACATTACCAATAACAGTAGTGCAGAAAGATTTTTTTTGAAGTTAAAAACGATTAAAAATTATTCAGAACCAACGATTAGCTTGGATTAAACAATCTTGTAATTATTTCCATTAAAAAGTCAGGCCAAAAAACGTAAATGTCATCCGAATATTGTTCACGTTTGAAAAGAAACATAATATTTTCAATGCAATTTTTTTGAATGTATTTGTATAATTGAATAGCCTATTTGCTTGACTAATGGTCAAGCCATTCCTTTGCGACTAATTGCAAGCCATACTAATAATTTGCTTTCGAACATAGCCTTTCTTTGTACTTGAGGTCTGGAGAGGTCACTGGAGTAATACCGATCATTCTCAACAACTGTGTAGTTTAACAATGTAAAATAAGATTCGTTATCCGAAATAAAAGTTTTGTTAAAAAATTTTATATTTTGATTTTTTTTGACTCCTTTTTTAATGGTTGCATCGGGATATTGTCAAAATATACAGCAAGCTGGTTGACTTTACTTTTTTTTTTTAATAAAACTTTGTTTATTTAAAATTTCCTTGTTGCTTGTGCATCAGGTAATGAAGGAATGATGAGACTTTTTTTCTAATATATTCAGACTTCAGCAAAAACCTTTTTTCTAGCTACCTGCCAAATTTTATGAAAAAAAAAACTCGTCCAGATACCCTACTAACTTACCCAAAATAGATGCCTATGTTTGACTTGAGTTTCGCTTCACACCTGGATAGTAAGGGGAGCGTATCACAAGTTGGATAGTCGTGGGAGAGCGTATCACAAAAAATATTTGATCATTAATAATGTTTAAGTGTATATTATGATACAAAATAGTATATATAAAGTATATAAAATATACAAAAACGATTCAAAAAATTAAAAAACTCAATAAAAAATTAAAATTTTATTTAAAAAAACCTAGATTTTGAATAAATTAAAGGGTGTTATAGATGCCCTTCTGACGCCCCGCATACGTCTTTTAGGTATCCTTATTCTCATTTTTAAGACCTTTCTTTCTTTTTTTCTTTTTTTTTTTTAATTATTCACCAATTATTCCCCAAGGCCGAGAAGGCTACTACAGCCGAGGAGGCTGCTTTTTGTGGTTACAACCCTCTCCCAACTCTATAACTCCGAAATTCGAACCTCGACGAACAAGGCCTCAGCACGGAGAAACAAGTTAAGCACGGTACTACACGGTACTTAAACTAGATCGAAATTCATCGTCGGATGTCAAACTTTATCAAAAAAATTTCTTTTTTAAAAGTTATTTTCAGGGGGTTAATGATTGGGGTTTTGGTCATAAATCTTAAATGAAAAAAGATTTTTGATTAAATTGAAAATCTATCAATGAATCTTGACCTAGTTCATGTTCATACAACTTGGTATCAAGAGAAAAGTCTTAAATAGAAAAATAAGCAAGACCATCCTTAGAGGGGTCTTTTGAGGGTGTCTAACCCAACTATATATTTTTATAGATGTCACAATATAGATTTAACAGTTAATACACCAAAAAATTAAAATACTAAAAAGAAAAGCCTACCCGTAAAAACGTTACTGCATTATGGGATCGGAAATAATTTTAGCAAGCCACGTCAATGAAGTTGAATAATTTGTTTGATAAAAGTCATCGCTAAAAAAGTGACCGCCCATACCGACCGTAATACACTTTTAATCATTTTAAGGCGCTCAACAAAGTATTGTTGTAACTATTCTTTTAATACAAATAATAATATATATAAAAAAGTAACACTGTTAAAAGACGCGGGAAACTTGCAGAAGACCATTTTGGTCTTGTCATCAAGAAACCGCTTTTAGTTGCGATATTTTGTATACTTAATTTATTAAGAAATTTCAGTTTGTCAAAGTCTCATTGTGGCATAAGAGTCACACATAAAAAGCTACTAGATAATCAAAAACAAAAAACGGAAAAGAGCTGTATTTGATACACATAAATATATAGTTACATGGTTTGTTATACTTAGTATATTAACATGTACGAAATATAAATAAAATCTAACATTTACTTTGCTTTAAAGTGGATTTTTTAGGGGTTTTTAGCTATTTGTTTTAATATACGTTTGTAAAATTGTTTTCTTAAAAATGAAAGTATGATCATTTCTTAAAAATTAATTTTTTTAATTTCCTTTTCTTACTTGGTATATTTTTAATAGTAAACTTATTTAGTATTTGGTATTATATATACGTAAATTATTATTTACGTATATATAATACCAAATACTAAATAAGTTTACTATTAAAAATATACCAAGTAAGAAAAGGAAATTTAAAAAATTAATTTTTAAGAAATGATCATACTTTCATTTTTAAGAATAGTTACAACAATACTTTGTTGAGCGCCTTAAAATGATTAAAATTGTATTACGGTCGGTATGGGCGGTCACTTTTTTAGCGATGACTTTTATCAAACAAATTATTCAACTTCATTGACGTGGCTTGCTAAAATTATTTCCGATCCCATAATGCAGTAACGTTTTTACGGGTAGGCTTTTCTTTTTAGTATTTTAATTTTTTTGGTGTATTAACTGTTAAATCTATATTGTGACATCTATAAAAATATAAATAAATTTTTAATTAATTAATTTAACTATAAATATTTTTTGATTATAAATTAACAAAATTTTATTACGTACTTGTTATTTTATAACCCCCGTTTTGTTTACTTTTTTTGACTTTAAAAAGGATTTCCCGCTTTCCCCATGCAGTAAGATCTTAAACAGAAAGAGCTAGGACATCTAACTGTTTACCATCAAAATTTATACCATCTTTCCATCGTGGTTTAGCCAAGTGGACGGCTCTTCCCACAATGTCAGCTGCCACAGATGAAATATCTGCAGGAAGTCAGCAAACTCATAAGGAGGAAGGAAAAGAGGGACTTTCTAAGTTACCAGCTAAAATCATTGGTGAGCATAGATTAAGGCATTTATAATGTAGACTAAAGTTCAATGATCGTAAATTTAACATTGTCTAGTACATTTTTGTTGCAAATACTTAAGTTGCAACTTAATTTTACGAAGCTTCGTTAGAATTAAGTGGTGATTAATTTTACTAGTGTTACTCTTTAAGCAAGTTCCTAATATCTTAAAAGTATATTAATTAGTTTAAGTACTGAGCTAAACTAAGAAAGTGCGACCTCATTTTTGGAAATCTCTCGTTATCTAGAAAATCTTTAATTTTTTTCTAGAAAATAAAATACTTAAGGTTATTATACTAATTAAATATTTATCATTGTTTCTTTTAAATAAATATGTTTTTGATTCTGCTATAAACTAGCTAATAAAAAGATAAGTATTTGTCCACTTCTTAACTTTAAGAATTTAAAGTATTAAAACAAAGCAATGCTTTCATATATTTTGACCCACCTTTTTTTTTTTTTTATTACAGGCAGGAGTAAAGTAATACTGAGTCCCCATTTAATAAACTTTACTGATTACATTTATTGTCAAACCTGACCTTATCTGACTGTTTATCTATTTAGCAAACAAAGTGTCTGGCACTGTTAAGTGGTTTAATGTCCGCAATGGCTATGGGTTCATCCATCGCAATGACACACAAAACGATGTGTTCGTTCATCAAACTGCTATTGTCAAAAACAATCCCAACAAGTACTTACGTAGTGTTGGAGATGGTGAGACAGTAGAGTTTGATGTCGTCGAAGGTGTGAAGGGTCATGAAGCCATCAATGTGACCGGACCTAATGGTGAACCTGTGCAAGGTAGTAAATACGCACCTGATAAAAGACCAAGGTATGGAGGTTATCGAAGAGGGAGGGGTAACAGAGGTGGTTACCGTGGAGGTAGAGGTGGCTACCGTGGAGGAAAATCTGATGTTGCTGAAGATAGAAGTGATAAAGATAATGAGCCTGAAGACAAAGAGGCTACTTCTGAACATGATGAACAACCTAAAAGACAAGGTAAATTTTACAAAAAAAATTTTTAACTTTAAATCTGAAGTTTTATTTAATAAAGTTTAAATCTAACTTTTTATGCAAAGTCTAATTCCTGAGTGTAGCTAAACCTAATCATCATAATTTTGAAATGCAGTTATGTTTAACTTAAGTCTTTGTTATTACAGTTAATCTTTTTTGGTTTTTAAATATAATTGTTTTTTAAGTTTATTATATTGTTATAAGTCAGTAATATTTTAAATGATTTTGTGTATATAAGTAATTTTCAGGTTTTTGTAATTTTACTATTGTGGTCAATTAGGCATTTTTTTAAAAATTTTTAAACTTATTTTTATAAGGATTTATATTGTTCTAACATAGCTTTCCGAGGACGAGGCAGAGGAAGGGGATATGGTAGATATCGTCGTCGTCCACAGCGAAGTGAAGGATCAGGTAATGAGTATGCTTCTCAAGATGAAGGTCGTAAAGGAGATCGTGATGAGGAAAGTGAGCGTCAAGAGGGTAGTGCGAGAGGAAGACGTCCAAGATGGTTTAGAAGAAGACCTAGGTAAGATTTAAACTTCATATATTTTGTACGCTTTACTTATGATCTTCGGCAAATCTCTCTAGTTATCTCAGGTGCCATATTAAGAATAAAACCATTTAATTTTATTTTTCTCTTCAATACACCCAACTTCAAATGCTCACTTAGTTTTGTATTTTGAAACTGATTATTAATTTGTTTGCTTAAGAATACTTAATAAAAGTATTAAATGGAAATAACTAAAATTTTTAGCTAGTGTTATTTTTTATTACATTTAGACGTCCCCCACAAAGTTCTGGTGACGAAGGTGAGCGTTCTGATCGTCAAGAAGAAGAACGAAGTACCCAACAAAGAAATGATGATAAACCTGCTGGTGATGGACAGAAGCAGCCAAAGCCAAGGCGACCCCGTTATCGAAGGCCGCGTGATAAAGGAGATGCCAATAATGAACAAAAGGCTCCAAATGATCGAGAAGAGGCTAAATAAGCCTGTTGTGTCTGTGGCTAGGATTTTCAATAGAATTCAAAATCTTGTACATAATTCTTATAACACCACTTGTTTAGTTATGGACGTGGTATATCATCTTATTTTAAAATCAAAGTTTATCCTATTCAGTTTTTTTTCCAACTATTGTACGGATATTTTTTTTTTTGTGTAGTTTTTCAATTAAAAGACTTTGTGTTACTACATTAAATTGATCAAAATCACTGCAATAAATGTATTATATCTAAATTTAAATGAAGTTTTAAATAATTGATAAAATTACCCCCTTACCCCTCTGTTAATTTATTTGTGTGTTTTGTTCCTAGACTATTCAATTCTTCGCATTTGGTTTCTAAACTGCCAATCAATTCCTTCAAAATTTACATAAAATTTGGTTAAAGTTAATATTCAAAAACTTAATGGTTTAGAAATCTGGTACCAGAAATCCCAAAATAATGTCACATCGTTCTATTCTATTAAAATAATATATGATAAATATCTTATAAGCTATTAATGTCTTAAAACTTAGCACATTTATTTATAAAATAATTAAGTAGATCTTGTACCTTGATAAAATTTTGAAAAATATAAAACAGATTTTTTTTTATTGCTAGTCAACTTGTCTTGGATCGTGTTTAGACTATTATGCCATAAAAGGAGGTCGAGGGCGTTCATAATAATAAAACAACTGAAAATTTCATAATCGCTTAAAATTATTATCTACTTTTTTTAATATTACTCACTTGATACCAAAACTGTTTAAATAATTATAAAATCTATGAAAAAACATCTTATAAAAGTAGTAAAAAAAATTTGATGAAAAAAAGATTACAGAACAACCACCTAGACATAACGTCTTTTCGTACATAAACATCTTTTAATCGAAGTTTCCAAATAGACCTTACTCTTAATTTGAAAAGGGATCGTCCATAAATTACATCACGCATTTTTTGACAGATTTTGATCTCCTTTGACAATTTTGTGACGAGGGCGTCACAAAATCGTAACACTTAAGAAGCAAGTTTTGAATGAGTCGTCACAAAACTACCAACCCCCCTCCCCCTTAAAGCGTGACGTAATTTATGGACGACTCCCAAACAAACACTTTAAATTTTACACAGATTTTAAAAATTATTAACTATGTAGTCTTCGCTTCACTTGTTTTCACTAGAAATGCATTTAAAAAATTATTAGAGCTCAAAATCATTTAACTCTGATGAAAACAAAAGAAGGACACGTAAATCATGTCGAAGAATTTTTTATGGTTCAATATCTCATCAAGTACTACCAGTAGGATATTAATTACTCGGTATGATTTTATGCAAATAAAACTTAGATCAATTCCAATATAGCCAACAGAAAACTAGTTAATGAAACAATGCCTAGTTTTTTTAAAGATTTATACCCTTATGCTCGTTGCTATTATAGACTATACAGGAGTTTTTACAGAGATGTCAATTAGCTATCGGAGTCAATAAGCAATGTTCTCAAACTATAAACACCATCACGCAACTCTCATTAGTGCTGCACCAAGTGGAATCATAACATTTTTTTTCAGAAAATGCAGGAAGACCAAGTAATAAACAGCAGGGCCGTCACGAAGAGGTTATCCATGGGAGGAGGGTTGGGGGGAAGGATTGTATGTATTTTTTTGTCAACTAGAAACACCTAAAAAACAAAAAAAAGGTTCTCAATATTTGCAATTTGCTAACTATAGTTCAAAACTGGGGCTAATGTGCCAACTCAAATGTACCAACTCTATTGTGCCAACTCAAATGTGCCAAATCTGATGTGCCAACTCAAATGCTTATATGACAGCTTTGGGGGAGGGGGACACCCCTTCATCTCTCCCCCCCCCCCCCCCACTTTCGAGACGGCCCTGATAAACAGGTAATAAAACACTGCGGCATACTAAAATTATTATTAAAAGGTGATAATTTGATAGCAGATGGTGGGTTTGATAAGCAAATGAGTTACCTAATCGCGACGTTAGAATTATCTTGTTCTATTTCCACATTTTTGAGTTTTGAGATAAAGCGATTTAAAAAATAAAAACTTTAGGAGATGGCATATAATAACAACTTTTTAACTTACGTTTTCTCTGCAATTTTTTATTTATAACTTAGGCTTCAATACAATAGAAAAACATTATTCTGAGGTACATAACCCTATCAAAAACTCAATTTTTTTTAAAAGCAGAGATAGAACAAGATAATTCTAACGTCGCGTAATGGTATAACTCTAATATGCCACCATTTCTTAAAAGTGATTTGCAACTCACATTAAAAAAAAATTTAGAAACTAGAAAAATTGCATCTGTATGAATTTATGTTAAGCGTGCTATCGTAAGAGTTAAAAGCTACAAAATCTTAAAAAACACGTTTCCACTTTTGATGGCTCCTGGCATAAACAAAGTGTGGGGTATTCTTTGTCATTTAGTTAACTTTCTACCCTCTAATAAAGACTCATAACGTTGATGAGGCAGGAAAAAAAAATTATATATCTTTTGTAAATGATTATTTCTTTTAAATATTTTTGTTGACATAAAATTGAAATAAAAATCTTTTAACTCATGAAAAATAACTGTATTCCATAATTCTGCATTATAATCTACTGTTTCGATGTGCTAAGAGTTTTCCATATATATATCTGCAACCGTTTTTTCAAAACGCTTTTTTCAAAACGTTTTTTCAAAACTTAGGTATTTCGAGTAAATACGCAATTAAAAAAAAAAAACTATAAAAAGAAACTCTTTTTATAACGTTTTTTGAAACGAATAATTTTTATGAATTTTTTCAGAACTCTTTGAAAATATATATTCAATAACGTTTGTAGACATCTTTTTTTTTTTTTTTTTTTCAATTTTTGTCAAGCAACCATTTACAATTAAAGATAATTTCCGTAAAATATTTAGAAATATTAAATACAAGTACATTTCATTATTTATAATAGTTACAAGACTGGAGAACCTGAAGAAGATAAAGTCTTTTCATCAGTAACCTTTGATAATAAAAATTGGAAATAATCGTGTATTGTTAGAAAAAATCATGCAAAGAATCGTGATTGGCAATAAGTTCGATTATGTTGTTTTTAAATTTTTGAGAGGTATTGGCTTCTTTAAGTTTACCACTCAGACTTGTAAAATGGTTCCATAGCATTGGGCCACGATAGGAAATGGCAAAGCTCGTAAGTTTTGATGAACGGAAAGGTTTTTTAAATCTTCCGGTAGCTCGCGTGTTGTATCGGTTTAATGTTTTATGGAAAATATTTTCGAAAACCTTCGGCGTTTTTTTTGACTGATGTTGAAACATAAATTGTGTAATTTTGAAAATATTTAACTCATAAATATCAAGTGCCCTCATGCTTTTTAGAAGAGGTTTAGCATTTGTGAAGCGATTTTGAAAATGAATAATGCGTGCTGCATGATTCTGTTGTTTAAGGAGACAGTCGAGTTTAGATTTATTTGTACTACCCCAAACAATATTGCCATAAGATAAATAACTATTTATGAATGCAAAATATAGTTGAGTTAGTGTAGATTTGTCTAAGATTCGTCTGGTTTTATATAAGATGCCAATACTTCTTGAGATTTTATTGCTAATATGATTTATATGAGCTTTCCAGGATAAGTTTTCGTCTATTAAAATACCAAGTAATTTATTTGTGAATGAGCGCTCAATATTGATGTTATTTATATATAGCATTGGTAAGGATTTTGGAATAGATTGAAACTTTCGTTTAGAATGGAATAAGGAAAACTTAGTTTTATCAGTGTTTAAAGATAAGCTGTTAGCGAAAAGCCAGTTTGATATTTGTTCTAGTTCATTATTTGCTACTTGAAATAGAGATAATATTACTGTTAGAATAGAATAAAGTGGTGTCGTCTGCAAACATAATAGTAGACATAGTATTTGATGCTTTATATAGATCGTTGACATAGATTAAGAATAGCAACGGACCTAAGATGGAGCCTTGTGGAACCCCACATGATATTTTAAGTTTGTTTGTCTGAAAGCCATCATTAAGAGAAATAAACTGCTTTCGATCAGTTAAGTAACTGGTAAACCATTTATGGTATTCGTGGCTTATTCCATAATATTTTAGTTTTTCTAATAAAATCTGATGATTAACGGTGTCAAATGCTTTTGACAAGTCTAGGAATATACCTAAGGTGAACTTGTTATGAGAAGATGCTTCACTGATAACTTCAACAAGTTGCATAAGTGCATGTTCCGTTGAGTAATTTGATCGAAAACCATATTGGTTCCAATAAAGAAGATTGTTATCATACAAAAATGCAAATATCCTATTATACATGATACGTTCGAGGATTTTTGAAAATACAGGTAATACCAATATAGGTCGATAATTTGTAACCAGACTTTCATCTCCTGATTTAAAAATGGGTGTAATAATTGCAACTTTCATTTTATCTGGAAAAACACCTGTTTTAAGCGATTTGTTAAAAATATCTAATAAAACATCTTTAATAAGTTCGTAGCAGTCTTTGATTATGCTTGCTGAAATAGCATCATAGCCTGTTGCTTTATTTTTATTTAATTTTTTTATTGAATCATCAAGTTCTTTACTAGTGAGTTTTTTAAATGCTAAGCTTTTATCCGACTTTGATAGATAGCTCAAACTAGACATCTAAACTAGCTTATTTTGTAAAATAGTCAAAATTGATTTTTTTTACCTTATTTTGTGTTTTGTAAAACGGCTGCAGATATGTATAATCAATTGTTTTAGTTTATGTTAATGCCATAAGGCCACTGGTAATAATAACGATCCTTAACATTAGCAGCCGTGGCGCAGTGATAGCGCACTTGTCTCAGAAATTAAGAATTCGTGGTTCCTCTGGGCAAGTTTTTGACATTGGTTTTGAAAGAGGCGTGAACTTCAAATTTAATGCGCGTCCGATGTGCTCTATGATAAGACCGTAAGGACTTCTTAGGGTACTTAAACAAAATGAAAATAAATTTTTTTTTTTGAAGTATCATTGCTAAGTTTCATAAAAAAGTTTTTATCTTGACATGCTTCTTTAATTGTTAAATGTTTTTTTTTTTGCTGAAAGGCAATTCACGTCAAGTACTTTTTCGGAACTCACTACTCCATCAGGGCTACAACCCAACCATAAGCATTTGGGGTTTATAAAAAAAACACATTGTATGACACTTAACTTGTTTTATAGCTTTTTCTTCATTCATTACTAATGTATTAAAAGCCTTTAACTTAACCACTATAATTTT